ACAGATATTAATTATTAGGAGGATTTGATAATTATATTTTGACGCTTTCACAGTGGCGACCATCGGGTGAGACTTCGACAAATATCGAACTTGTATCCGCCATTTTAGAAACTGTTTTCTTGATAGAAAAATGTGATTCTCGTTCGTTTACTGTAGGAGGTAAAATCATTTTAGTAGGTCATTTCATTCTACGCCAGTTGATATTAATTTTAATTTGTTAAGAAAAAAAATCAAGAGTTAGCAACTGAAAAATGGGTACTCAATAAAAATATGAGACCATGGGTATAATATAAGCAATTTCCTACAAACTGAAATACGTTTCAGCTTAAATAAATCACAAAGCGTTGAAAAGCCATAAAAATAAATCACTCAATCAAACTTGATTCATGATAATTTAGTAAAATAGCGATAAATTAAATAAAAAATCATAAAATGCCTGTTATTGACAGCGGAAACATACAACTCTGTATCGTTATTACTATATGTAATTATATTTTAGGAAAATTCCCGAAAAATATATTTACATATATTTACATGCCTTTAGTTTGCACAGGTTTTTTTTTTTATTTTCATTAGTATCATTTAATATATATATATATTTGTTTTCCAGTTCATGAATTTTGAGTATAAATTTTCTTTCACCCTTCGCCATACTAAATACAATTAACAAACCGAAAACTCATCCTGATCACGCATATCGTATATATATATATATATATATATATATATATATATATATATATATATATATATAGTTTATAAAATTTATTTTTTTCGACTATGTGTAGCATGGAGCACTCTACACTTTTCGATGAGAAATCATCAGTAAATTATTTTCAGAAACACTTATTTCCTTCCATATATATATATATATATATATATATATATATATATATGTGTGTGGTGTTGTTTATGTTTACATGATGTATAATAGATTCCGAAACAAAAGTTAAGATGGTGAGACGAAATGGAAAGTTTTAAATTCAAGAGGCGTTTCGAGAGAGAAAGGCTTAGCTTACGTTCTAATTGGCTTCATCAGTTCGACTAAAAGAATAAAAACAAAACTATGTGTTGGGCGAATCTTTTAGGATCCCTGATTGTTGTCGTAAATTATTAATTAATTATTATTATTAATTAGGAATTGTTTCCTGTTCAGTACATTGATTGGGAACCTCTTGAGAACAACGAGCAGTGTAAGGAATCTCCTACAATTTGTCATATCTTTACATATCTGTTCATGCCTTTAATGCCATATGTTTCAGCTTAAATAAATCACAAAGTGTTGATAAGTCGTAAAAAATTCAATCATTCCCTCAATCAATCAAATTTGCTTCATAATAATTTGGCAACATAGCGATAAATTAAATAAAAATATATAAAATGCCTGTTATTGACAGCGAAAACATCCAACTGAGTATAGTTATTTCTATATGAATTATATTTTAAGAAATTTCCCGAAAAATATATTTACATATATTTATATGCCTTTCATTTGAACATGTTTTTATATTCATTAGTATCATTTAATATATATATATTTGATTTCCAGGTCATGAATTTTGTGTATAAATTTCTTTTCGCCATACTAAATACAATTAATAAACAGAAAAATCACGTTAATCAGTCTATAGAACACTCATACACATATCGTATCTGTGTACATATATATATATATATATATATATATATATATATATATATATATATATATATATATATATATATATATATATATATATATATATATATATATATATATATATATATATATATATATATATATTTAATTTAAAATAAGTTTTTTCCGCTACACAGTTTTAATTTTGCAATTAAATTAAAGACATTAGTTCCATTTCATCCTCAAGCGAATTTTGGAGTAACTTTTATTACTGGGTTTTAAAGACACAGTTAAAATCTGTAACCATGGAAACGTGATTTTAGCTGTGTCTTTAAAATATAGTATATATATATATATATATATATATATATATATATATATATATATATATATATACACAGATATTAACTGTATTTATTATAACAGAGCATATATATTATAGAGCAAATTACCACACGTGGGTATGGTCTATTTCAAACCGGCAAAATTTTATGCCAGTCTTCTTCAGCTCTAGGTTCTAGGGTCTACGCAAGTAAGTTATTTATGACATCGCTTGAGAAGGAAACCGTGCTCTAAATATTAAGTTTAATTTTGAAAATAAACTTTAGTGAATGAATTTCGTTTCGAAACAGTAATTTCTCTGTCGCTCTGGAGACATATTTCTAAACAAATAATTATATATATATATATATATATATAGAATGTTTCGCTCTATCACAACTCAACAGTGTGGCTAGACGCCCGGTTGCCTCCACCTAGTATCGAAACCCGGCTGAGTTGACGTCAGTTGGAGATTCTACCACTAAGTCTAAGGGATTAAGTTGAATTTAAGCGTATTAATTTTTAGATAAACACACATTGACTGAGAAAACTATATATATA